GTGGTGCTGGGGGATTGAACCGTGTTCCCTGTGCTTTGCTTAGCTTAGCTTGTTCTAAGTAGGTGCTTTAGACCACTGAGCCATCTCACCAGCCCTCTGCCCTGCTTTTACCAGTGAAATGTCAGCTCCAAATGGCTCATCACCAGCCACTCTAGCTCACCCAGGGTGCCATTCTCAGCTTCCATTCTTGGCCTCCAGGTGGAGTCAAATGTGGCCCTGATCAGTCTATGAGAATCAGAGTTCTTAATCCTTTTCAAATGCGCTGAAATAGAACTCATGCCTTTAAGTAGAAGGTGACTAACTTTACAGTGAGGTTCTCCTTAATTTCAGAAAAGTGTGGCATTAGTAGGAAAGAACACAGGCTGTGGAACCTGTTTTGTGGTCTTGGGTAAGCTTATTCATATCTCTGCCTGGTTCCCTCCTCAAGAAGGCTAACAGCTGCCTGGAGGTAACTGTGATAGTCAAAACTGCAAAGCCCCTAGGGCTCTGTGAAGAATAACTCATGGCTATGTTCCTTACACTCACAAGAGTCTGATATGTAATAGATGCTCAGTTAATACTTGCCAAATAAATGCATGATGATCAATAAGTGATCTAGGACAGCTGGAAGGTTCTTGCTTCTCTAAGTCTGAAGGGGAAGGCTCCATGCCATGGAGAACACTGTGGCCCCCAGTTTCTCTGTGCCAGTGGCTTTATAGGACACTCCACTCCTGCTGGCAATCAGAGTTGCATGCTGTCCCTTAGCCTTAGATCATATCCCTCTATTTTCATGTCCATCTGTCTTATCTATCCTTTGATCTTGCCCATCTTATAACACAACCCATAACCATTTTACTGTCTGCATTCTGCATCAAGATCACCATGCGTAAGACTGGTGGCTCTCAGACTGGTGTGAGTCGGTCACTGGAGGGCTTCCTGGAACACACAAAAGTGGCCTCTTCCAGTGTTTCTGAGACAGTAGGACTGACGGGCCCAAGAGCAAACATTTCTAACAATTCCCAGGTGATGGTGATATTGCTGGGGGGTGGTGGCAAACATACTTGGAGAACCACTGGCACCACTAGCCTTCTCTAGGTAATTCCCTCTGGTCATAACCTGTTACCTTTAAAAGCTGTATATTCAAGGTCGGGTTCCATCCCCTTTCATGCTGAGAGGTCACTGAGGCCTGAGGTCCCCCTACCCTGGCCCCTGCTCCCAACCTGGGTCCTTGCTGGCCTCGCCCCAGCCCAGCAGCACTCACTTGGAGCTGGCCCTTGAGTGGCCGAAGGACAGGTCCTTGTTGCAGGAGATGGGTGGCACATACATCTGGTCCTGCTTGGAGACACAGGAGGGTGGGCGCACGGGGCACTTCTTGACGGCTTTCTGACCACTGCAGGTGCTGTAGAAGCTATAGCGGTTCTGAGTGGTCTTGTGGCCTTTGGTCAGTGTGCCCTTGCGCAGGGTGCCCTTCGGGTCACAGTAGAGGTCCGGCTCACTGCGGCTTGCCTTGATCTTCTGCATGAAGCAGATGTCGCTGCCTGCGCCAGGGGTGGCACAGCTGCCCCGCGGATAGTGCCGGCTCCAGTTCTCCATCTGGCTGTAGGAGCTGAAGCGCCGGTTGTCTGGTTCCCGCTTGAGGGTCCCATTGTAGATCTGGACAGGGGAAGGGAGAGAGGCTTAGTCAAGTTTCTTGATATGGAATCCTGGATCTGACTGAGCAGAGTATGCAGCCCTTTCCTGGTTCTAATAATAAGGTCAGAATCCAGAAATGTTCAGAGAGGAAAGAACCTTGGACATCATCTGCCATATTACTTTTTGCATTGCAGGTTACAACCAGAAGTCACTATAATGGATTGTGCTCATTATTATGAAAAATATAGTATAAGATAATATACCTGGGAATGTAAAACACCAGAGCACAGTGCATGTGTGGTTTGTGCAACAGTGCATGGCTGCTGAGTGGCAATGTGAAAATACTTCTCACTGTGGGGACACACTTTCTCAGGCAGAGAAAGTGTGGCAGCTGTTGATCTGAGGAGCAGTTCAGCAGGAGGCTGCAGCCCCAGAGAGAGGGCTTTCAACAGTCCTTTGGAGAAGTGAGGATGAAAGTGAGACTTGAGTTTGTGTCCCCAGCCCTCACCCAATCACCTTAGTGCATCCTCAGACCGCAGCAGCCTTTAGCACCCCCAACCCTCCTGAGGCATTTGTATGCTGGGCTCAGAAACTTCGATTCCAGCCACCGCTGCTTCTGCTGTCATCGTTTGCCATATTCCTCATCATGCCCCCTGTTTTGCCAATGCGAGAAGAAAATGGTAACAGACCTCCAGCGGAAACTGTCTCAAAGGCCACAGAAACACCCTATTCCTGTTCCCTGTGCCTCTGTTATAGGAGCTGCCACTTCAGGACCCATCTGGTACCTAGAAAAAGCCCCAGTGCTGTGAGGTGGCGGTCACTGTAGGCCTCTGGGCTTCACTGTTAGGCAGGCAGTGGAGAGATGCCGGCCAAAGCTCACCTCAACAGGAAAACATCCTCTGGACAGCAAGGCATCCCCAAGTCTCTGTGTGAGCCCTGTGGGGTTTTGCCTCCTTGGGAGGAGCCTGCAAAGCTAGACCCTTGGTGGGAATTAGCTGTGGGACAGAACTGTCCAAGGAAGACTTTCCCAGGAGCTCGCAAGATGGTGGGTCTGGCCTGCTGGGACTTGTTCTCAGACTTGAGAATCAACATGGAACTTGATAAAATGTCTCCACGCAGGTGCTGACTTGGGACTCACCTTGGCTGGGATAAGCCAGGGCCAAGTCCAGCCCAGAACCTTCCTGCCCCACCCAGGGTGGGGTGGGGGAGAGGTGGAGGCCTGGGCAACTCCCCCCTACACCACATCTAGCTACACAGAACTGGGGAGGGGCTGGCCTTCACCTGGGCCCTCTTTCACTCTGCAGGGAGTTGCAGAGAGCAGGAAAGAGCCATGGCTCAAGCTCTCAGAATGACTGTGTATCAAGCTGCCAGGTAGATGTCATACCCAAACTCAGAAGCCACAGACTATTAACCTTGGCAACAGCACTGCATGCCCTTCACCCACACACCCAGCTGTGTACTCAGGCAGTTGAAATTTTCTTGCCTGAACTGGGTCAAACCAACCTACCCCAAAGGAAGCTGGTGTCTGTGGGTTGGAGGAGCACAAATGGACAATAACAGGGCAGAGGAAGAGAACCTGGGCACTTCTGAGCATTTGGACATGGAGTGGACACCTTGTAGCTTACATGCAAAGTAAGGCTGTCTGTGCCTGGACACATTGCATTCTCCCTGGGGAAGGAAGATGGAAGATGGCACTTTGGAGGGAAAGTTGAGCCTCCCCAATGACAGGCCAAGCCGTAGGAGAAACACAAGGAGCTTCCTTGTTCTCAGTAAATGACACACCTGGACGTCATCTCAGACACCTGATGAGAAGTCCAAATGCTCGCCTGGCCCAAACCCAGCGAAGATGTGATCATGCTGATTAAGCCTGACATAGGCCCCGGGCTTTGCTCTCGGCCTGGGAAAAGGAGCAGCACAGCACTTGCAGGTCTCAGCCCCCAAGGAACTGGCTCTGGCTGTGCCCACAGGGGAACAATGAGGAGAGGAAGGCAGGGATGTTCCTGTGGGACTGCATCTGTCAGCCCTCCATTGCCACACACCAGTGGCGCCATCTATTCCTGGGATTCTTGAGTCACAGTGCTGATGGCCTATGTCGTCTGACTGTAAGAATGGTGGATAGCTGTGGATGGCTCTTTCCCATCACCATGGTCCTTTGCTGTCACTTTGACAAGCAGGAGAGAAACTGCTCAACTAGAACTTGTCCTCCCCCAGAGCCATGAGAGGCTTGAGTCCTCTCCAAAGCTCAGACGAGGCAGGCTGCCACTGTCTCTCCCTGTACAGGTGGTCCTCCAGCCAGTGATAGCTGCAACCTTGTAGGCAGCAATGGCAGCAGTGACTTGGAAATCTGGTGACATTTCTCAAGTCGTTTGGCTGGGACTCCCACAGCAGTATGACTGTAGCTGGCATCTGAGGCAGGGTAGGTCTTCATCGTGTAGGAAGGCCCGAACATTACAGGATGTTTAATGTTCCTGGCCTCCAGGCCCTAAAACCTAGCAATGGCTCTGTCATTGTGATCAGAAAAATGCTCCTTCCCCTTACTTCCAAACACTCTTCCTGGTCCCAAGTGAGCAGCATCAGCCAGAAGAGACTGTGTGGGCAGTGACCAGATGTGGGCAGCAGGCAAGGGCACTTTGTGACCCCTATCTACCCCTCCACACTCAGATACTAATCTGATGGCTGCCTCCTCTTCTTTGAATACAAAGGACAGAGGCACACATATGTATACAACTCCTTGTTTGGTTATCTCATGCTTCTTTGGGAGACTCAGACTTGGGTGGCATGATCCATGGATCACACATTCTAGTCTAGAAACTCAGCTTCCTGGGAGCAGAGCTGACCACTCAACCAGAGCGCAGCCTAGGCTGGACAGCCAGGCTGAAGCCAGTGTGCATTCAGAGTTTCTGTACTTGGGCTCCAGTGGGGGTCCTGGGGGTCGGCAGTCTGAACCAGTGGCCAAGGCAGACCGGGAACACTGTTCCAGCTGGGAGTCTTCCCTAGCCTGATCCTGTTCTCACTTTCTGCTGATGGCTTGGGTAATTTTCTTCCATTCTTGGAGAAATGTGCCCTTTTAGCCCTACATTGAATGCCCTCCTCTTCCTGTTTCTCCTTAAGTTGGAAGCTTTCAAAGACCCACTCCTCACTTAGCAAGCAAAAAAATGAGACCTACAGGGTGGCTGAACCAAATTAATCCTTTCCAGTCCCAGACCAGGACTTCAAAGATGAGAATGTAGTCAGCATCTGGTGGAGACAGCCAAGCAGTCTGGGGAGGCCTCGGATAAGCTCCAGTTTACCTGAGGTCTTTGCACAGCTATTCAGGAAGAGATGGTGTCTGTCTGTCTTTCCACCTGAGAATCTTTTCTGTCTCTTCCCTTTGGGTCCCTACTACACAGACTGTGGTCGTAACTTTCACCAGTTTACCCCCTAGTCGCCCCTAGCCAGCCTCTGGGGCTCTGCTCCCTGCCTTATAATGCCTTTGCCTTCACCTTCGTCGTCTTGCTCAGGGGAAGCTTCCATGGCACCTGGCCTTGCTACACAGCTTGCCATGTCTATGCTTCTTACAAGCCAAGCATCTGGCCAGTCATCTCTTGCCCTCCCAGCACAGCCCCTTATGCTGCCCCATGACAGCAGCTGCATCCTGTACCCCTGCTTCAGCTAAGTCTCGTCTCTGCCCTGCATCTCTCTCCTTTCCTATCTGCTGGCAAATCCTACCTTTATTCCAGGGTATAACCCTATCATCTCTGTCAAGCCTGCTCTGCCATAGCCTCATCAAGTGTCCTTCCCACACCTAGTTACCTGTGGTCCTGTTCACTCTCTAGTTGTTACTGTGGGTTTCTCTCATCCCTCCAAGCTCTTTATGATGCCTAGCACAGGGCTGGACTCCCTACAAATGCTCACAGAAAGTGGTCCTGTGACTGGTGGTGAAATTTTGTGCTGGGGTAGAGACTCTGGTTGCTAGGCTTTGGGCTTCTCAGGGCCTCTGGGCCACCAGACATGAAATGAGCTCCTTCTAGGAGGCAGGAGGCCTCTGAACAGAGCAAACCCACCAGCACAGCCTGGGTTCCGCCCACAATGGTCCACAATAAGTCCCAGAGAATTTTGCTCAAGCTCTGGATGACCAGACAGAAGCTGCCTGGCTCCTTGGGAGTTGCATTTGTGCTAGGCAGGCCAAGATGAAAAGAGTGTCTGTGTGCCCAGCTATTAGCCCATTCTGAAACCAAGCTTCTGCCAGCTAGGTGGGGCTGGCCCAACCAGCTCTCCCGTGGGGCACACCCTGCTCTGCCCTGCAAGTCACATACCCAGCAGAGTGCCCAACAGGGCCATCTTCAGCAAAGAGAGCTCCCCACACCCTTCACATGAAACTGAACGTGCACATAACTTCTTGGGGTCCTCGTGCCTCTAAAGCCTGCACAGGGCTCTCCAAAGAAAGGACAGTGGTGGGAGCCCCTCCTGAATAGGTTCCATGTGTCATTTTTAGCACCCACCACTGCCCGTTCAGCACCACTGAAAGGTCCTCATGCAGCAGACATGTAGCAGCCTTCTTGTATCTTGCTAGGGTTTCTTTTGGTCACGCTGGACAAACTGGACAGGGCCAGGCAGCACCTAGGTTGGGCTCAGATCCTCCCCCTAGCCAGGTGCCCAGGAGGATCCACACGGAGCATGGGCAGGGAGAGTTCTCCCGGAGGGACAGGGTGGCTGCTTACTAGGAAAGCTGCATCAGCGTGGGAGCCTGAGTCACCAAAGATGGGACCTCAGCACAGAGTATCAGTCCCTGAGTGTTCTGGGCATGGCCCTCCGGAGAAGCCAGAGTCCCACCCAAGGCCAGCCTTCTTTTCTTTTGCTGAAACACTGCTGTGAATGGAGCAGCTCCATAGCTCAGAAGCCTGGCTGTCTGGGTGGGGAACATGCCCTGTTGGCCTTGGAGGAGACTGTGGGCGTGCCCCACCGTGGAGCCCTCACAGGCAGGGAGGAGCTGTGCTCATGGCTCCATCACCAGCACCCTGCGAGCCACGCTGCCTGCGCAG